TTCTTCTTCTTCTTCAAATTTCTTATACTCAAAGGAGCGCATACTTTGGTTTTGAAAAGCTTTTGATTCCCGAGTGTTTTTAAGCTTCCTCTAAATTTTCTTTAAAGGGCCTTAGTCTACAACCTGATACTTTCCGTTGAAGGACTATCATCTATGCCTTTATTTTCATTGGGAAGGCACGATGAAGGTCTCAGAAAAATGTGCAATAGCTGCGGACTCTGTCGTGTAATTAATAAGAGACGTAAATAGATGAACAGGCAGACATGTTTGACCATTAAATGGGAATAGGAATGAAGTTTTATGAAAGCTTTTAATAAAATGCATTTTAATTTAGAAGGACATCAATAATCGATCGGAAACAAGATGCATACGACTTAAGTTATCCCTTTTACCAAATGCACCCTCTTTGGTCTCGTCTTCAGGCCCATTTGGAAGTGGTTTCTACTGCAGTCTTCATTTTGCTTCTTCCCCTTGTATCTTTTGCTAGTACAGTCTTTCCTTCTGTTGCGGTTTTCGCTCATCAACATCCTTTAGGCGTGTACGTTTTTCAGTTACTCCCTCCATGTGAGCTACTGTCAAAAGACGTGTCGTCACAAGCATGCAGTTAAAGGATTGGCCAACCCACATATTGATTTATCATACTGAGGATGCAGATATTAGCTGAAGGCACAGATACGCGTGTTTCACCGGTCTTGTGCCGTTCACGGGGTTCGGTTCATCAGTGTATCCCCCGGCGTTCCCCGTGTGTTTTCTGGTATGCAAACTCCAGTCTCCACCCTGTCTTGTTTAATTTCCTTGGGCGCTGCGGGTTTCACTGGTGAGTCGAAGCCCTCGTAGCAGCAAAAACCCGGTGAAGCACCTATCCGGCCTTTAATCTAATGGGTTTCAACTGTTATAGCTATCTAAATTCTCCGGCCCAGCCTGAAAAGGTTTTTTTCGAAGCATTTACTCCAAGTCCGCTCGTCAACTTCCTCGGAAATTCAATAGAGCAGAATCGACCAACTAATTCTTCTTGCCTCATTCTAGAACTTGGTTAAGATGGGTAACTTGAGCCAACAAACAATTGTGTAGATGAACCTATCCATGCAAACCACTGTGCAGGTAGAGGATAAATTCAGTCTACAAATTTGCAGTCATTGGTGCCGTCAGGCGGCCCTAAGCTCCTCTATTTATCGGAAGATTGCTTGCGTGTAACGTTGCTAAGTAGGTGTTACTCTCATGCCACATTTTTCGTTGGACTTAATCCCTGATTTTCCCGTTATTACTTGTTTTTGCGTCATGTCCTAGCTTGTTGCCTGTCTTGGCAGTTTTTTATTACCGGGAGCATTGGACGGCATTATCCACTTCTAATATCCACGTCACTGATGGTTGTTTTGACGGATTTTTCAAGACAGTTCCCATTTTATCCCTCTCTCTCTCTCTTATGCACTGCGCGTACGCGTACTGCATCTAAAATGCTGCAAAAATATCCCTTGTAGTCGAAGCCGACCAACAAGCTGCATCACGTGACCGCTGAAATTTATGCGCCAGATGCCCGCACAGCCTCCTCTCCAAGTGCCGATGGCCCATGCCCCGTGTACCGTGCTGTGGGTGAGTGGAACTCCTCATTCCGTCTGCATGATCTTTCCACGGTAAGTTTGTCCCCCTCCCCCCGTTTTCTTTCCGTATGACAGACCCACGACCTGATTTATTTAAAACTCTCCCTCTCCTCCCAGCTTTTATTGGATTTAAAGGCGTTTCAGAATGCCTCAGGCATTTTCTGCCTGCGGCAACTTCTACCATCGTCGCGTTTAGTCGGACGTTAAATTCAAGTAAAGGTTGCGTTACATGACTTAATTCTCAAAATGTTAATCGAAGCTCGGAGACGTTTATTGGGTTACAATCAGACATTGGGTACAGTTTCAGTATAAACTATGATGCGACATAGTCCTAGAGCATTTCTGTCGTCCGTAGATGCCGACTTGTAAATGCACAGTTATGCGGTCGTCTGTGAAAATCACGCTCATCAAAAAATGACTATTTGCGTATGCACGTTTTCATACATTAGTTCCAATCCACTTGTTAGAAAGCGTGCGTAGAGCTATCCTTCACTGTGCTCCGTTAGCAGAAAGGTGCGTCTTCTTCAAACTTTCTTCTCGAACAAAAAGCATATCTCGGTTGTAAACGTGTTGCTTAATCCCCTGTTCTTGCACTTCCGCTTACTGTCTTCATACTACATTCTGTACGCCTTTAACTTAGACATGACTCCAAATTCCTCTATGCTATGAAGCCGCTACCATCTAGGCTCCATAAATTGTCATAAGGAATATGAACCACTTTGTGTACTCCACAAAAAAGTATTAATAAACGGACAACTGTGGTACTATCTGAAGGAAAATTTCGTTCTCCTTTGCTTATCTTCGTAGGTTGATCCGTGCTGTACTACCCAACCGCAATGTGCTTTTCTTACCATTAACATGTCTTCGCATAACTGAAACTGCTTCAAAAATCTGGCTTACTTCGCGTACCGTAATTGGTTTGTTTATCCAAACGTTTGTAAACACTCGTCTTATGGGATCGGAGCATTGCAACTAGCATTTTGAAGAGTATTTGGTTCTCTTCTGAATTCTCTGATGGGAATTTAGGCAACTTTAAAACTAACATTCTCTGTGGAAAGTTTGACATGGACTTGAGCACGGATTAGTCGACTTCAAGATGGTCGCATGTACCTGTTTGCCCTAGCCGACCGCATCTCAAGCAATCGAAAAACGGAAAAAGAGCAGTTAATTTTCCTAAAACTGTGTTGGAATCTATACTCACGCTGTAGGTTCCCTGCTATAAGCCATGCTCGACATAGAATTTACTCTTGAGGTATATTTAAGAACGAACTCCACTGAAGAACACGTTTAAACGTCATTCTCGTTTTTTTGCAAGGGCAGGCTTTCTGTGCATTTAACATTCAGATTTACTCGGTTACAGCGATTTTGGATTTTTTCGAATATTCCGCTTTCCCTGAAAAAAGTTAGTGTTCTTAAAAACGTAGTACTTCTTTTGCTCGATCTTTTGTTTTTAATTAAGTTCGTTTATTATTGATATTCAAAAACTTTGGTTCTTTTGTTGGTGCTGGTTTGCGAATGATTCGTACATTTCGGCACTTTCAATGAGATGCGTCACATGCTATATGCACTGTACCACAGAATTTCACAGTTTTGTAGTGCATGTGTTTTTAATTTATTTATATTCCCATTTCTAGCAGGTTGAAGAGACAATTGACGTCGGGAGTATTGCAGTTTATCCAAAATATGTGCGCCCACTTCGTCTGCAGGCGCCCGAAGAATCACAACGGCTCTGGGAGAAGGTTACCGAGGCCCTACGTGATGGGGACATAAATAGAGCATCAGAAGAAAAGTTCAAGGTTCGTTTACCTGACACCTTGTAACCAACAACTACGATTGTGAAGCTTGTACAAATGTTTTGGCAAAGTAACAAAGGTGGCGGATGAATTTTAAAATATACCTCAGTGCTTACTAAATGCATTTCAGTAGGCGTAATTTTGATGTGCTCATCTTGGCTTGACTCAGTCCAATAGCCCTTGTCTGGATTAGGCTAATTATCTTTCCAAGGCATTCAGAACTTTTGCTTATTGATTTCAAACTTGAGTGCTTTGTCAAGGTTGCTACAACATCATCGTCTACCATTTCATTAGCAAAAGTTTGTAGTTGCAGGGGCGATAGTTACACATATCCTAGCTCAGGGAGTTAGCAGTGATAGACGGGTTGCTTCAACTTAGTTACCGCTCAAATACCTCTTATTTCTTCAGTTCCGTCTTTTTCCTTGTTTTTTCGATATACGCGGTCGCTATATAGCGACTGAGGTTAAACAAATTCGCCTAAATTTTGCGACATTGCGCATTTGTTTCTACAACTCGTTGGTTGCCCATCCTGTTTCCTTACCTATAGGACCCCATATTACCACGCTCCAATAAGACAGAATGTTACTTCTGCCGATTTTTTGTTATCATCTCCACTTTTCCTTATCTTTTGTAGCTTGAAGACGTACAGCGCGTAAGTGAAAACGCTAGAACACGTTTGCGTCTGTCTCATCATCCCAAATACTTTCAGGCCTCGGCTACTGGTTGGACATACAACAATCTTGCATCATAGTCTGCTTCAGTGCTCCAATTCTCAGATCGCAGTTCTTGATCACTCACTTCTCTGTATGTACTCTGACTACTTCCTGTTTCCCCTTAACATTGGGGTCACGGTCCCCTGTCTCTTCCAATACTTGAGGCTAGTACACGCAGCCTCTTCTAAAGTGACCTTTTTCCTGCTCATTTTTGAGACGTCATGAACTCTTACCTGTATTCATAACCATCCTGTCTGCGCCACATATTTGTGTGGCACTAGCCAACATTCCTTGGACGTTAATGCAGCGTCCACCTGTGATGTGTTTTGATTCGGCTTTTACTAAGCTGGACATCAATGATTCCCTTTTTCTTGCATGATCCCAATTGCACTACCTATCTGCTCTCTGCCTTTCGGCCTCTGTCAGCGTTTAATAATCTATTTTTTTCCTTTTCCTTTGTTTACTAGTTGTTGCTCTTGCCTTAGTTGCCTTCCTGATTTGAAACATATGCGGGTTCCATCTTATCTACCTGGTCCTAGATTTTTTTCTGAGTAAGCCGTCTCGCGATCGGCTCTCACGACTTCCTAGTTGATTGGAGGTCAGTACTTGCAAGCAGGAAATTCTGTCTTGATGCATCCCCGGCAACATGCATAAATTGGTAGATGCCAACTGTATCTTATGTTGGACGGACTCACTCTAATTGGGCCGCTTGGTAGATGTGCTGAATCAACACGGGGGGGGGCAAATTAGGGCATGGCGATTAAAGATTTTCCTATGCAAGTTTCATTGTCTAGTCTGCTTGCAAACATGTCTTGACAGCGAACTTATCCTAGACATAATTGGCGCCCATGTTCATGTTATCATTCTCCGGCGGCCTCGTAGTGCTCTCTCCCTGATTGCAGCACATGGGTAATCACTTCTTCCGACAGCGCCGCTGTGACAATTTCCGTTGACAATTGTCAGTATCGTGCTTTGGCAAAAGTAGTCTATGTAGTGCACCTCATATACTCCTAGTCCCGGCATTTTTCCTACGGAAACGGTGGTTATAGGGTTTTTTGGGGTGAGGAAATAGGATAAGCAGGGAAAGGAATTTTTAGAAGTCAGTGTTAAGTGAAAGAATTTAGTCGACTTTGTTTCCCGCGGCTGCTGGGAGTAAGTCGTTCCGCATGTAAATTGAAGGTGTGCGCGGCGCTTTGCGCAGCGGACTATACTAATCTAACGCCAGAACAATAAGTTTGACCTCATATAAGTTGAAATAGATGACCTCCTAACCATCATTTCAATTTTTCGGGGAATTCAAGAAACCTGCAATTTCATAATCGGGTTTTTCCGCAATAAGTTAAATGTTAATACAGATTAGGGAAATCTGCAGATATGAATCAACAACACTTCTAAATAAAGTAAAATAAAAATGCATTTAGCATTTATCAAAGTACATTCCACTGCGTGCCA